AAATTATCTACAATTTTCGTACATTATTTCTACTAAGTTATATATAACTACAATATAATACCACTTAAATATAATTTTTATACAATGTTGTTCAACTTTCATACAATAGTTAAATGAATAAAAGAAAAATAAATAAACAACAGAATATAATTTATCTACAATTTTTCTACAATTTCTGCAATATAATGTATGTCATGTCTTCTTCTTCTTCTTCTTCGAGTTTCAATCTGAAATTCAGCCAAAACCAAGTCTAATCTTCACCAAAACCCCTCAAAATTGAGATATAAACTCCAAACCATATTCCCAATTATTTGCAACAACACCAAATCCAAACAAATAATGATTTTTGAAAACCCAAATTCGAATTCAAAGCTTCAAAGCTTTTTAATGGCTATTAATGGTGGAATTGCTGCTCTCTTTTCCTTTGCTTTGTATTACTGAAATTTGGATATAATTGCATTTGATGTAGAAGAATTGTAGAAGATTTAGTCGTTTTTGATTTGTGAAATCAGAAAAAAGTTTGAAACACAGTGTATCGAAAAAACAGAGACGCTAAATTTGAAACGAAACTGACGAAGAAGATTAATGTACGTGATTTGCGTTGTGGAAGATCTGAAAGAATATTTAATCCCCCAATTTTAGCACGCCGAAATAAGGAAGCCTACAGCTACAATGATTCCTTATTTAATGAATTGTCTATGTTTTGTAGAAATACTATTAGCATGAAGGGTAATATGCAAACTATGAACATATTTGGTAATATAGTTTTCTATATGGTATAGGAACGAAAATTTCCCTTAAAAATACGCTTCATCCACCTATTGGGCTAAAAATGCGTTAAAATATCATGGTATAGCCAGTTTTCACACTGGTCAATGAAAAATAGCCAGCGTTTACCAAGTCAATGAAAAATAGCCACTATTTTGTTGCAACAGGGACCGGTCCAGTATAATATACGGGAGTTCTGGTGCATTTGTGAACAAACTCCAGCATATTATGCTGGACCGGTATACTTTGCTAACTCCTGTAAAATTTGCGGGAGACTGGAGCACCAGTGCTCCAAACTCCAGTATATTATACTGGACAATTATACTAGCTGGAACTCCCGTAAAATTTGCGGGAGTTCCAGCATAATTATGCTTGAACTCCCGTAAAATTTGCGGGAGTTCCAGCATAGTTATCCTGGAACTCCCGTAAAATTTACGGGAGTTCCAGCATACTTATGCTGGAACTCCCGTAAAATTTGCGGGCGTATTTTTCTGGATTTTGAACAGTGTTTTCGCTCAGATTTAAAGTGGCTAAATTTCGATGACTTTTGAAACTTGGCTATTTTTCAACGGCCAGTGGTAAATCTGGCTATTTTTGAATTTCTCCCTAAAAATACCCCTTCATCCACCTTTTTGGTTCACTTATGCCCTTTGACCGTTAGGTCAATGCTGAATTAAAAATAATTATTATTCTTTTTGTAAAACTTAAAAAAAATATTTCACAAAATATTTTTTTTTAAACTAATGCACCAGTAGTCACTAATTTAGTAAAGTCTTCTTCTTTTTCAGTTTTTACAAAAAAAAAAATCAGTTTTTAAAGGATTTTTTTTTTAAAACTTAAAAAAATTGTAAAAACAGAAAAAAAATGTTTTTAATAAAATATTTTCGTTTTTTAAAAACTGAAAAAAAAAATTCAACAAAATATTTTCGTTTTTTTTTCAGTTTTTTTAAAAAAACGAAAATATTTTTTCTTTTTAAAAAAAAACTGAAAAACGAAAATAAAACAAAATGTTTTAAAAAACTGAAAAAATGAAAATAGAAATATTTTTCAAAAACAAAAATATTTTGTTGAAAATATTTTTTTTCAGTTTTTAAAAAACGAAAATATTTTATTAAAAATATTTTTTGTTGTTTTTACTAATTTTTTTTCTTGTTTTTACTAAAAAAAATAGCTTTAAAAAAACTGGAAAAAAAATATTTTTTTTGTAAAAACTGAAAAAAAAAAAATAAGAAGACTTTACTAAATTGGTGCATTAGTTTAAAAAAACGAAAATATTTTGCAAAATATTTTTTTTTAAGCTTTACAAAAAGAATAATAATTATTTTTAATTTAGCATTGACGATCAAAAGGCATAAGTGAACCAAAAAAGTGAATGGAGAGGTATTTTTAGCCCAGTAGGTGAATGAAGGGTATTTTTAAACCTTTTCCAATAGTTTATGGTGCATTTTGAACCCTTTTTCGTTTTTTCAATTATAGAGGCTGCAAAGTGGCTATTTGTAAATTTTACCCAATTACTCGGGCCAAAAGGAGGAAGATTGAAATAAAATAACAACGTACTTGAACTTTGTCGAAATTCTACAGAATGCTAATCAAGTTGAAGCCAATTATTCAATTTTTAGTTCCATTTCTGGAAGTAAAATAAGAGCATCAAACAGTGGTATGAAATATAAGACAAAATCGCTCATATAAACAAGGTAAGTACAAAACATCATAGGATCCATTTTGTGCTCGCTGCAAAATAATCTGACAAAGAAACCCCCCCCCCCCCACCCCC